CCCCCCCCCATGGGGCATTCACACGCCGTAGGGTTGAGACCCCCAAACTCCAGCCCGGGCAGCAACGGCGCCAGAAGAAGCCCCCTGAACAACCCGTTGGCCAGAAACTCCCACTCTGCCAATCCCTCCTCGTTAGGCCTTGTTACCCACCTTCACTCCCAAAAACTCCCCATCCAAGGGCTGGGCTGAGGGATACCCAAAAAAACACGGCAAATGGATATGGGAATGAATTGGTAGAAGTGAGGAGCTTAAGGAGAGCAGGACAAGAACCACAACCCCTGTCCGGGGCACAGCGTGCTCCAAGGAGAGTTTGGTAACAGTTACCAAATTCTCCGTATCTTAACGCAAACATTAAGGAGAGCAGGACAAGAACCACAGCCATTGTCCGGGGAACGGTGTGCTCCGAGGAGAGTTTGGTAACAGTTACCAAGTTCTCCGTATCTTAACGCAAACGCTTCCTTGAATCCCTCATGGAAACGCAGGGTGGAAACCAACTCCCTGCCACGTTAACATCCAACATCTGAAAGCTGCCGGGTATGATCCGAGCAGGAATTAACACCGATACTGCCGATGAGAGCCGACTGTTGGAGCTTAAACAGGATGGAAACACAGCAGCTTGTGTCAAAGAGGGGGGAAAACGGTCTCAAACTCACCTTCCAAAAGCGTTAAATAAGGCAACAATTTCTTGTCTGCTCAGCTGGAACCCGTAGGAGGGGCCGCTCTCGGGTATCTTTTCTATCAGGCTTTCCGAGAAGAGGATCTTCAGCGCCGTGCCCAAGCCCTGCGTCTGACAAACGAGGTCATTTAACAACGGGGAGACATGCAGGGCCTGACTCGAGGTTAACCTTCCTTCCCTTCCAGCTTCCCAAGGATCCTGTCGACATCCCAACAGAGCAAGGCCGGGATGTCCCCTCAGGCAGCTCGGGGAGGGGAGCAGAGCCCGCCCGCGGTACTGATTCTGCGTTACCATGACAGCGGAGCCACCCCGAACCCCGGGTTTTACACCCTCTCGGGGAGCAGCCTGGGTTAACCCAGTTTTCAGCCACGGAGGAAACAGGCAGCTCCTGCCAGGCCCAGCAAGCTGGAATCAGCATCCCGCTTCCCACCAACTGCACCAGGGCGGGACTCGAGCAGCCCTGACCCGGATGTAGGAGCCGAGCGGTAACCACAGCCCGCGTCCGCACACCCGCGGCCCAGCCGACACGGCGCTTCCGCACGCTCCCCCCGCCCCGGCTGCTGCCGAGGCTTACCTGCAGCTTCCCCCACAGCCGACACTTGAAGCAGCCAACACAGTCCATGATCTTGGAAATATTCTTGAAGTGCAGCCTGAATTCCTCCTGGGGGAGAAAAATCCTCAGGTTGATGGTGGTTATGCAATAATTGGGATTCGTACATGGATGATCCAAACCAGTGATGTATTCATCCCTGGCTGCGGCTTGGAGCAACCTGGTCTAGTGGAAGGTGTCCCTGCCCATGGCAGGGGGGTTGGAACTGGATGATCTTTAAGGTCCCTTCCAACCCAAACCATTCTGTGATTCTGTGATTCATCCTGGACTCTGGGATAAATTCATTGGGACAGAGTTAGGGAAACACTTCCCGAAGCGCAGGGTCCTCCACAGCAACTCGCCACCCCCCCTTAAGGCACACCCTACGCTCTGTAGTTACCCACAAGTATCCAAACCCTTTGGAAAGCAAAATGAATTGGAAATAGCCCAGGACCTGGAGTGTTCCGGAGTGCCCAATCTGGCATTATCCCAGACACGTGCCTGAAAATACCCTTTTAGGCAGCGAGTGCCCCAAAGCGAAGGGCAGGCCAGTTACCTTCAGTTTAGCAGCTTCCTTTTTATTCCCTGTGAAGAGCGAGTTCTCATCGAAATGCAGTGGGAAGGACCTGAAACAGAAGGAAACGGGGTTTAGCTGTGCACGGCTGGCTGAAGTCGGGAAGTATCCGGTTAGGCACGCAAGCAAAGCCAAGAGGGATTTGCCTCTGGACATTGGGAGGTGGATTTGAAGTCAAGCTGTTGGTTTCTTGGAGGCTTTGAGCTTCTGTCCCGTGGGCTTTGCGTTCCAGCTTGATCTCACCCGGGGGACACGGTCACCAATCGCAGCCAGCTTTCCACCAGACTCAGGCACTGAAGGCACGGGAGTCTCCCAAGATACATTCAAACAGAATCCCGGAATGGTTTGGGTTAGAAGGGACCTTAAAGCCCATCCAGTTCCCACCCCCTGCCAAGGGCAGGGACCCCTTCCACTAGACCAGGTTGCTCCAAGCCTCATCCAGCCTGGCCTTGGACACTTCCAGGGATGGGGCATCCACAGCTTCTCTGGGCAACCTGCCCCAGTGCCTCCCCGCCCTCTCCGGGAAGAATTTCTTCCTGATATCCAATCTAAACCTCCCCATTTTCCGTTTAAACCTGTTACCCCTTGTCCTGTCACTCCCTGCCCTTGGAAAAAGTCCCCCCCAGCTTCCTTGTAGCCCCCCCAGGCACTGGAAGGGGCTCTAAGGTCTCCCCAGAGAGAGACCAGAAGCCCAGAGGTCTTCCCTTCTCCAGGCTGAACCCCCCAACTCCCCCAGCCTGTCCCCATGGCAGAGGGGCTCCAGCCCTCAGAGCATCTCCGTGGCCTCCTCTGGACTCGCTCCAACAGCTCTGTGTCCTTCTGCTGTTGGGGGCCCAGAGCTGGAGGCAGAACTGCAGGGGGGTCTCCCCAGAGCACAGCAGAGGGGGAAAATCCCCTCCCTCGCCCTAACATCATCGTTAGGAAGAGACATTTCTGTCATGTTCTGGTATCTCCATTCTAAACTCTAACAGCCCAAAGCTCTGTTACCAGCACCTTTAGGATTTTTTCTTCCACTTGTCAAAAACACGGAGCCGGCACTGGGAACCCACAGACGAGTCAAGCACGAGGCCAGTTTCAGCTGACGCAGAGGCCGTTAGGAAATTCCATTCGCCTAAATCCAACAGGCAGCCCAGACTATCAAACCGTGGGCTTAATTACCCCGATTTGCGTTTTGAGTTCAGCTACCGACGCGCCCCCAGCGGCATTTCCCTACGGCACACCGTCCCACCACAGCAACCCGCCCCGGAAGCGAAAGGTTAAGCGCACTCCGAGGCGTCAGGGTGGAGAGCGCCCTTTTCCCCAGGTACCAGTGTAATTACTTGGCCAGATGGAGAATATCCAACAGGAGGGTTTTCGCTTCTGTGTCCCGACTTTTATCCCCCGTGTAGAGCTGGAAGCCCGGGCGCTCAAAGAATGGGAGCACTTTGGAAAGGGCCCGCAGCTCTATCAGGTAGAGAAAATACAGGTTCTTGAGTCTTCTGGGACCTTCTCCTCCGGTGAGGACTTCATCAAACCTCTGCTGGAACTCTGTAACGTTGGGGCCCCACTTCTTCTCCGACCACGTATCTGGGAGAGCAAAAACACAACCCAAAACAATGACGTGAGGCGGGTGGGTGTAGCTGTGCTTCAGCTCACGGGGCAACCCCAGCACAAGGACAG